CGTTGTCAACCATCCACCATGGGCTGCTCCACAGGAGAAGCAACGGCAGCAAACGCAGCGCTGCAGCAGCCCCTGGGACACGAACGGGAGCTACCGGGCGAGAAAAAATGCAGCCAGCGGCGAGGACAAGGGGAAAATCAAACAGGCTGGAGCAGGAAGAAAAAAATGGAATCTGGGTTTTCAAGTGAAATAAGCCAGTGATGTCGGGCTGTGCTTATCAGCCTGTCCAGTTGCTCTGACTCGGCAGAGCAGGTAGAGGGCTGCACTGAAGGCAGGAACAATTGCCAGGATTACTGCAAATCTAAATAATCCATCTTCTCGCAACGCCAGAGGACAGAAAGAGCAAAACAAAATGGCATGACCGTGTGCGTTAAATACATGCAGGCCCCGAGCAGCCCCCTGGGAGCTGCGCACGGAAAGGAGTGCAGAACAGGCAGAAACTGGGAGCAGCCAGGGAAAAGCCAGGCCAGGATTCAAGAGCAGAGAGAACAACACACCAAGCAGCAAAAATACAACAGAGAAGCGGAGAAGCATGTATTTTCTCTCTACTGAAGCCATTCCCTGGCCTTGCTACATGCACAGACGTAAACCAGCAGACGAATGGGGACGTGCTTACAAGTTTTTGATATTTTCTGCCACTCCAGTTGTGTACTGGGCGTCTGTCTGAAAACAGAAGTTAAACAGGGTTAGATGGCTCGGTCTGAGCCGGCCCCAGCTCGCCGCAGAAATCACCTTGCAGCTGTGCCGGGTGTCTCCGCTCCTCCTGCTCCAGCCAGCTCCCCATCCCGACAGTCTCTTAGCAGCTCCCCCTCTTTGGCCAATATTAATCTAAAACTTCACAGGGCAAAATGCATAAGGGCTATTGCGAGACCCGTCCCCACGTGTCCTCCTGGCATTTCTCTCTCTGCCAGGGATGTTCATTTGCCTGAAGCGTTAACTTCTTTTTTTCCCCTTCTATACACATTGGCTCTTGTCCAAATGATACTCTTGGCAGAAAAGGATTTCCACCCCTTCTGTGAAGAAAGAGGGGTCTATTTATAAGCATTTACATTTCAGGTTCATTTCAACACAACGGTTCGTCCCTGCAACCAACCTGGCAACCTGTTATGGCTCAGAGGCAAAGGTTAGCAACACAGCACAGCACTATTTATAGGAGGGATAAACACACCCAGGGACTGGCACGGGCCTGGAAACACTTTCACAGTGACTGGGACAACAAAATCCCTAAATAAAGGCCAGGAGATCCAGGAGCAAAACGACGCTTGCTGCCTGGTGGCTGCCCTGCTGTGGACAGTCCTATCGATCATGCATGTACTCGAGTGCACACGTGAAGTGCAATTTCAACTAGAAAAAAATAGTCAAATTAAACCAAACACAAGAGAGAGTTTTGCTCAAGCAGCTTCAGGTCCCCCATGCTTTGACTTAGTGGCTGTGTGAACAGACAGCAAACTTGTCCTCGAAGGCACACGGTGGCCTGGAGGAAGCCTTGTCCCAGCAGGCAGCACCCAGTCCACGCTCTCCGGGAGCGCTCGGAGCTGCACCTTTTCTTGCCCAAAAAGCACACTTTCCCCTTGGATGTCAATAGAAGCCAGAGATCCCAAATGCTACTCAAATTACTGGCAAACAGGCAGCAAAACCAGGCATTATCTGTGTTCTGTTCCCTTTGACATGCCACTGAGGTTTATCTTTCTCGACGGATTTCCGGAAATTAAGACAAATGCATTTCAGGCTCAAGAAAATAATCCTGAGGGAAAAGTCATGGAGAAAAATAACCATATAAACCCATAGATAAAAGCAGCTCTGGTGGATTAATGTATTCAAGGCTCTTTAGCCCCTGGATTCAGCAACTGATTCTGGGCTCCAGATACAGCCACAAAGCAGCATATTAGTCCCAGCCCCAAATAAGTGTGCGGTGGTGCTTGGAGGGGCTTGGTGCTGTTTTACAGGTAGGGCTGAGAAACAACGTTCCTGCTGGAGGGCTTTGGATAACTTGCAGAGACTGGGAAGCGGAGTCCCACCAGCATCAACAGCCTCTCGAGCATCCCGCAAGCAGCAGCACGATTTGCACCGAGAGAGGAGCACAGCAGCCACGTGGGCAGCCGCTAACGTGGCTCCTTTTCCTGACCTCCATGGCCCAGGCGTGGTGTCATTTTGGGCAGGATGCGGCTAACGATCCCGGTCGGACAGCAGCCCAAGGCCGGGCTTATCTGCCCCACAAGCAGTGGCCGTGACCTCGGGACACGCAGGCGTCCTGTTTGGGACCAAGTGCGGCAGGTTGGGCTGCGGGATGCGGGATGAAGGGGCGCAGCTCGGCCTTACCTCAGCGATGAGGACGACGATGACGGAGTCCTCCTTCTCCTGCTGCGTGAGCTCCGAGATGAGGGAGTTGAGGGTATCTGTAAGGTAGGAATGCACCTCCCGCTTCACGCTGGGGATTCCCATCACAACGGACACTGCTCGGAGCCAAGAGAGGGTTTCAGAGGCCGGGGGTGCAGAGAGAGGACGTTTCGCTCTGTCCCCCGTGACCGCCTTGTGGTTTACCTGCTTGTTGCCATGCTCCATCATTAAAAACTGACAGTGATCAATATGTTAGTGAGTGCCTGGACTACAAGGGTTCCCTTATTCCTGTCCCATGGCCCTAGTGCCAACCAGCAGCACCCCCAGCACTCCAGGCTTGATGGGCACGTCAAGGGCACCAGGAACCCACTGCTCACATAGGGTCGGGTGGTAACTTCAAGACCAACATTGTTCTCCAAATCCCTCCCGTGGACATAGGCATCTCGGGTCAGGAGGGATAAATTGGCTGTTGGGTTTTTTTTGCAATTTGGGGGTGGGAGGATCTTCTAGTAACCAAAGTCCTGCTCCAGGCGGCCTGGTCTCCTCAAGCCGGTTAAGATCTCCATGAAACGCACTGCAAACTGTGCTCTTATCTGAACCACCTTCCAGGTAAAATCTAGAGCACTCTGGAAACGGAAAGCAGCACAAAACACCGGACAGCAGCATCAAGAACATTTTAGTGCTGGTCCAAAGCAGAGAGAGCATGCCCCCACACACCACAGGCACCACATGGCTTCTCCACCCCATGTGCACCGCAACAAGGAAGCTCGCATGAAGCATGCAGCCGTTCCTCCGGTCCCGCTCAGCACCACGCACCGGCCAGGCCCGGAGGAACGGGGCACCAAGGCACCAAGTGAGAGCAAGAGCACCAGAAGCAGCACTAATTCCCATTTACCTCCAGTGCGCCCCTGTCCTACATGCACGGCTGGCTGCAGACTGTTCTCCTTTGACAGCAAATGTGGCAAATGATGGAAGATGGTGGGAAGGTGCAGCACATTCTTGTTGGTGATATTCCACAGTTTTAACTTGGTTTCGTCTTAAAAAGGAAAAGGGAATCAATATGCAAGGAACGGTATGTAGGAAGAGATTGCAAGGCAAGAGCCTTTCTAGAGAAGTGTGGCCGCCCGAGACTACTGCCGGGTTATAAAACAAAATCAGGCCAACCTTTAACATGCTATCACAAACCCAATTAAAGTCCAGGGGGAGCCATGAGGGCCTTAAAGAAGTCCCAAAATATTTGGGAAGGAGGGGGGAGAATGAAGATCAAATGAAGATCAAATCTGATCTTTCTGTAGAGATACATCTTTCTTCAGCTGAGCAACTTAAAAGTGAATAAATAAATAAATAAATTGGCAAAAGGTGCTCAGCCAGCCTAGCTCCTTCCTCCCCCCTCTCCTCAGATATCCATTTTCCATATGGATTCAGTACAGCCATAGGAAATGGCATGTATGACTTGCAAGAAAAAAAAAAAAAGCTTGTAAGCAAGCAAGTTAGCAAATATCATCTGCAGAGGCAAATCTCAGTGCTTGATGATGCAGACGCACCGCTAGTTCCACTGGAGTTTAAGAGTTTCCAAGCCCGTTGAATTAAATAACAACTAAAAAACCCTTTTGCTTGCACCAGGGGAGAGAAAAGCACCGTCCGGTCTGCGCCCTAGGCACCCCTCGCTACCTCCTCACTAGTAACAGCCTCAAAACAGCCCGAGCCCCTCAACGTCTCTGTCACTCACCAGATAAGCTGCTCCAGGTGCGGTTGATATCCCGCAGCGCCTGCTTCTCCGAGATGGCCCTCTTGATCTCCTCCAGGACCAGGTTGAGCTCCTTGGAGCGCTTGAGGCTCTCCTGCTCCGCGGCGTGCAGGCGGTCGCGGAGCGCCAGGAACTCCCGCTGGTAGATGTCCACCACGTCACCTGCCGACGCAAAGCCAGAGGTGCTGCTTCTGCTCCTTCCTCCTCGTCGGGAGGAGTCTCAAGCCACAGGAGAGAGGCTCGTGGTTCGTATGTCCTCCTGTAAAATGCTCCTGCATTTCACGCAACGGGCTCTGCTAGCTCGTTACGATGAGCAACCCCGAAAGCAACGGCCCTTTCACTGGGGAATGTGCATCTTGCTCACGCGAGCGTATTGACACCAAATGCTCCAGCAGTCTCCAGTCTGAGGGCAGCTTTGCTTGCAAAACTATAATTAAAACTCTACTTCCATTTTTCTCGTAGGTTTCCAGGTCATGCAGAAATACGACTTGGTTTATGTACCTATACATATATATATGCATGAATGTATGTATGTAAGTAAGACATGGGGGCAAAAATAAAGCAAAGTGACATATTGAGAGGAGGGGATTGGGCTAAGGCATTAGCTTTAAGTGCAATATTCTGATCCCTCTCCTGCGTGTGAGGCGCCGACCACCTCAGCAAGCAGCTGGAGCCGAGTGAAGAACTGAGAGTGCTGCTGTTGGACCTGTTCAAACCACGCTCCATTAAGGAACACACGTATTTTTAATTGCCTTGCTACCTGCTTGAGCTCTGCTGGGGTGCACGAGTTGAGGAGCACATGTCTAAGAGCACTCGAGTGAGAAACACCGGCGACGGGCGCGCAGAGCCCGTACGTGCTGCGCTCACGGCCCCGCTGCCGAGGCCAGAGCAGACACGGCACAAATCCCAGCACCCGGCCCCACGCCGAAGCCGAGGGACCCTCCGGCACGGCTTCGGCAGAGCCTCCTAAATAGATTTCAAAGCCAAAGCTTATTACACTAATCCAATCCCTCTGCAACAGGGCAGAGGGAAGAACATTGCACGGCAATTCCTGCAACAAGCTGCTTGCATTTACGGAGATAGGAGTGCTTGCATATGCACCTTAAGGTTGCATCGTAAATATAATGCCTAAACTAGAGCAATAAAGACTTTTTATTCCAAAGCAACACAGCATCAGCATGCCTTTTTTAAGCACTAAAACTGTTCAGAGCCTTCAGCCGTAACTAACTATACAATAGCTGGGAGCGGACTCAGTCAGTTATGAACTTCCTGTGCCATTTCTTCCCCCATTACTAACAAACTCTGCGAACTCAGGGAAAAAAATGCACTTTTATCTCTGGTCACTCATGTGTTCACGCCGAGCACAAGGCTGCGCCTCTCAGGACCATGCTCAAAGAGCGCTTATCCACCGAATTTTAAGACCCATAGCCCGAACACGGCCACGATGTCAGCCTCCAAACAGCACCAAGGTGGTAAAAGGTCAGGAGACACTCAAGTTTTAAAAGCTGGGGCGGTTGGAAGCTGCCACTTGGGTGCTGGAAGGATCAACCACAGCACAAAAGAAAAGCTTCACTGAACTCATCGTGTTTAGGACGTTTACTTTGCTGTTGGGGTGCTAAATTGAGGTTCTCATCGACTTTGGGGGAATCAGAAGGGCTCAGCAGGTCCCCAAGAAGTCCAGAACTACTGTGTTGGGGCTTCCAGACAGGGCTAAATGTAAGTTAGAGCCACCGAAAAAAAAAAAAAGACATCTTGACTGCAACTAAGAGTTTCTATTTTTGGGTCCATAAAGCTAAAAAAAAAAAGAAGAGGGAGGGATTGAAGATCAAGCATCTTCAACCCAAAGCAGGGGGTCCCAAGACAACACCACTTCCAAGGCAAGTGCTCTTCAATACTCTTGCCCAGCACAAGTTTTCCCCGTGGGGTCTCTTCCCCCAGCCAGGAGGTTCTGAAGGATTCTCTGCGTTAGACCCCGGGAAACCCTCGCACGGGGGTCACCTCCAGCCCTTAGGTATTTCTTCCCGATTCCCTGCAGCACGGTGGGGAGCGGAGGAAGCTGCAGCGGGGCCGTCACGCTGCCTCTCTGACAAGCCGCCCGTTGGGCGTCCTCCAAAGAAAGCAAAGACCAGGCGCTCGCAGCGCCGGCCCTTCCTTTTTCCTGCCTGACATTTCTCACTTTCTGCTCACAGAGAGGATGGAAATTATCTTAAAAATGCTGGAAACAAAACACAGCCAACCCTGCAAGTGGCCTTGGGAATTTGCTGGAGGAGATCGTATGTCCAACGCATTCCAGATGCACCTGATCTTCACCTGATGGTACCTCCCCCTCAATCACAAGAATGCACCTTTTAGCTTCAAAATAGTCAAGCTTATACTTTTTACTACTTAAATCTTCTCATGCAAATAAGCTACACCCGTGAACACCAGCAAGGAGCAAATCCCTCCCTGTTTTTCCACGGAGCAGTGGAGGGATCCGTATTTGCAGGATGCTCGAACCGCTTGGCGCCGGGTGCACCGGGCATGGACGCTATGGACCCAAACCGCAGCTCCGGGCCGGCATCCGAGCGCATCCCTGGAGCAGGGCGAAGGCAACGCTTGGCGCTTAATGGCTTTTACTCCGGAGCGCTGCCCTTGCTTTGTGTCAGCTGGAGAAGGGAAAAGGCTCCTTAATTAAAATTTCGGGGAATGGAAAAGGTGGCCGTGCCCGCTGGAACGCTCCGGGGCAAAACCCAAGCCAGGCAGCAGGTTTCCCGCGCGCCGCCAGCAGCGCCGCTGGGGAGAAGCTGGCCCCCATCTCCAGAAGTGTTTTTGGATGCCGAGGTGATTTGCTGCTGGTGGAGCTGAACGCATTTTTCAGCTCGTGTCAGCTCAGCGCAGACCCTCTGCTTCGCTTTCAAAGCAGCAAGATTCTCCCCCTACGTATTTATTACATTCCTTCCGAGCGCAAAGATTATAGAGCTCTTAAAATATCCCAAGACTCAAGTGTTCTAGGACAGAAGCTCCTAGCCTATTAAAAAAAGGCTCCTCGTACTTTGTGGTTTACTTTTCCTGGAGAGATAACGCATCGCTTTGGGCTTAAAATATACCGGTTTAATGAAGATGGAAAGTCAGTGTGACGTGTCGGTTCGCAGGACAGAGCTGGGATACCAAAACCCTCCCAGACCTGGGCACAAAGTATTTGGAAGCGAAACGGTGCTTATCCCAAATCCTATCGACTCCTTGCTGCCTCTAATATTGGCACTCAGCGGGATTTCAACAGCAGTGCCTGGAAACCTGCTCTCCTCAAGGGGAAAAGCTGCTTTCGGGCAACTTTGCGCAGCCCGACAGGGCCACACTGCTGCCCGAGGCGCTGTGGGGACCCGGATGCCAACAGATGCCATCAGCCACGGCCACCCCAGGGGCGCCAGCGGGGCCAGGGGTCTCCTGGTCTTACTTTTAGTTTTCTTTTGTGTTTTCCCATTCTTTCTTCAGCATCCTGGACACCGAAGAGCACCCGGACACGGCTTAGAGAGGTCCGAGACGCTGCCCGCGACGCTTCCCCGCGTTGCAATCCCCGTTTGGCTGCAAGGCGACACAGTTCATGAAAAGCGTTTCTCCATGGTGGACAATTCGGTGGCTTTGCTCTTATTTAAGTGGCTATTTGGTGAAAAAAAAGTGTCTGCTAGCAGAGGGAAGGGCTGGGGCGCTCTGTTAACCCAACCTGATTCCGAAAGAGCTTCCAGGCATGAAACCAGATGAAAATCCCACCTTGAAGTCTTTCAGGGTCATTCCCATACCTATTTGTCAGAAATTTTATAATCCTGTGTTCTGTATTAGTCTTTCAAATCGCACTGCAGCCTCCCAGGGAGCCCTTGTGCATTTTAAATACATCCATATTTCAGGACCAATTAGTTTGGGGTTTGTTCTTTGAAGATAACCTCTCCCGGCAGAGCAGACCGATGGCCAAAGTCAGAGCTTTCCCTCCCTGCTCACGAGCAAATGCAAAGGCTTTTGCTGCCTGGATTTGCCTCTCATTAGGAAGAGCTTCGAGAGACTTTGTTTAACAAAACTAAAAACCGTGCCCAAACCTCTAAACTATTTATCTTTATAAAATCTTGGCTGACAAAGAGCAACTGCGAATTTTGACCCATGCGTTGCAAGTGTGGGAGTCAACACGAACCTACTGGTTTCCAGCGCTGAAACAGCTGAAAGAAAATTAAGTTCCTGATGCCAAACGGAGAGCAGAAAGTTAAATGTCCTACATTAAAGTTTTCCTAGCAGACTCTCTGCTTTATTTTAAACACACCTAATTAATAACCATGGCACCGACGAGACTCTTGGAGTCAGATTATCGTTAGTGATTTTATGTTGTGATACTTAATGATTTATACAGCCCTGGTGGGGCTTGCATGTGTTACGCTCTAGATTGCCCTGATGGAATTACAACATTAATTAGATATTTTGCTAACGTAATTTCTCGAGACCATTAAAATGTATATAAGAAGCTACCGTGCCGCATCGGTGAATCAAATGTGGCTACCCAAAATACCTCCAAAACAACAAAAAAAATCACTGCCCTTTCCACGTAGGGTAAAGACTGAACAAGTCTCTCTCCCCTGAAGCAAAGCCTGAAGAAACGAGCCGGGCTCTCATGAGCAGGATCAGATCAGACCGCTTCGTGAGCCAGCAGATGGTTTCTTCCAGTTCCAGATTCATATTTTAAAATCACAGACTTTGACAGCAGGTTTTATAAACTAGCACCGGGTTTTGCAAAAGAAACGGTTTCCATTTTTTCTGGGGCTTTATCTACCTGTTGAAGGGATTTAGCGTGACATTTCGCATGTCCACAGAGCAGTTAAGGAGAAGGGAGGGAGGAGGCCGAATATTTCCATCGATCAGAAGGGAAACAACACAGTATTAAGCAGTCAATTTTCATCATAGCAAAAGGTTAACTACCAAGAGAAAGCCCGAAGGTTTTGTATTAAAACGAGTGTCTGATAGATTTATTAAGGAGATGGAGATGAATTCGTGGCGGAGCCAAATCCGGCAATGGCGCAGAGACAAGTTAGTGCAAACCAGAAACAAACCCAATGACCAGACAAAAAGGCAAATTAATGTCAGTGCTGATGGATGCAAATCGATGGGGGTAATCAAGCCATTTCTTGCACGGTTCTTAATTAAGGACATTAACCAGGACGGAGAGAAGAGCCTCTGGTGAAGGCTGCAGCTCTGCAGGTAGCAGGACGGCGGGGGAGACGAGCACGGTGCTCCATGGGCACCACGGAGAACGGGAGGATCATAACGTTATTAAAATGATTCAGCCTCATCCAAGAGCAGTTCCCACCTCATCTGCAAACCAGCCTTATTGCAGACTTAAAAGGGGCTTGAGAAGAGGGTGGTGCAAATGATCAAAGGAGAAGCAGCCCCGCTCCGCGAGGAAGGGGGGAAGCGAGATCACTCATTTAGGATGGGCAAAATAATGGGGCCGGTGATGAAAAGCGTGTAAAATGGAGTGATATAATGAAAATATAGCACAGGCTTCCGTTTGCCTTGTCTCCAGAAATGGAGTAAGCGACCAGCCATTTAAAAACGCTGTTAATTTGAAACTGATAAAAGGAAATGTGTCACATGGAAAGAAAAGCGTATTATTTCCACTGCCAAGGAAAAATGCTGCAACTAGGAATTTAAACTGGAGATGTGGGGCTATTTCAAGCACGGAGGCCCCAAGCAATGGGCCTGAGAGCTCCAGATGGGGAGATAAGTCACCTCCCCAGGGAGCCCCTTGGCCCAGGTGAGGCTCCGTCCGCCCTCCCGGGCACCTTTTCATTGCTGTTTGGGATAAAGCCCCAAATCTCTCCGTCTCCCCTCCTGCAACACAACTTCATCAGGAACACTGCAGCTTTCCTTCACCAAAGCAAAGCTAATTCATTAGCAATCTAATTATTTACCTGTGTAGCGTAAATCCAGATTTCTAAGAGTTTGCTCTCACATTGAAAGCAAAGGCTTGTTCTCATTTTTTTTTGTTATACCCTTTATTGGATTGGGGAATAAAAATATGCTGAAAGTGAACAAAATATAACATTACAGAAACCACGGGCCATTAAACTTTGAAATAATTGCTGCTCTGAGGGATTTTTAAGGGTACATCGCACATGTGGGTACAGAATTTAACCCAAAGGGTTATTTCCTCTCTATTATTTCCTCCGGCG